AAAGTCAATCCAGGAAGTTGCAAAACATTATCTTGGAATTGTAACCCAATATCGTGTATATATTAAGTATTGTTCAACAATAGCTGAAATAAACCCAAAAAAATTTATCCTCCAATTAATCTTATTAAATTTGGGACTACAAAGAAATCCTTTGAGTATGAAGAAGAAGAAGAAAAGGAAGATATTGAATATGATGAAGATTTTTAGTATAAAGTTTTAACAATTAGAGCCCAAGAATTTAATATTATTTTTCAAGCGATGAATAGAATTATGACTGCAGATGAAGCCCAATGCACTTACTTTACAAGATCTACTACATGTATTTACTAAGTTAGGAAAAATAGCAAAATGGCCAAAAACTTTAATCAATGGTATGAAAAGATTAAAAGTAATCAAATAGAGAATCCAAAAAGTACTAAAAAAAATTATGCCAAGTATTGTTAGAATATGTAAATTATAACTGTAAATACTATGAAGAAAGAAGACAATCAGAAAAGATTTATGAAGACCACTTTGTCAACCTAAATATTTTGGAATAGACCTCCTGACATATGAAGACAAAGATAGCTGGTGGTTGAAGATAAAAAGAAGAAGAATAACGAAGCCAGAATCAGCAAACAAGATAAAAAGTAATTGGCAACTCATAATAAAAGACAACAGAAGGTGGAAGATAAAATGAAAAGTAGCTGAAAGATGTTTTATCTTTTGTAATTAGTTAAAAAGTATGTTTGTTCTTTGTAATCATTAGAGTTAGTTTTTACCTTCAATTAACTTTGGTTATGTAACCAGAGTTGAAATGCCAACTCTATATAAAACCTTGTAATCTTAGAGGTAGGACACATCTCTTACCCTCACATTCTCTCTTGTATCTGAGTTCAAAATTCTCTTACATCTACCTACTCACTATCAATAAAATTTCCATTTTCAAATATTTCTAACTTTTTAAGTATATTGAAGAATAATTCCAAGTATGGCTGAGTAATTTCCTTTTAGAGATTAAAGAGCAATTATTATCTGATCTTTAATATAGTGATAAACTTGAAATGATCTTATAAGTTGAATTACTGGTTATATGTTGCCATAACTATGGCTCCAGTAGAAAATAAAGGAAGGTTGTGCTGTTAATGGTCTGAAGGAGGAAGGTTGTATGCTAAATTAGGAGACTTTTGGCCTAGTAATTCTCTGTATGAAAGAGGACAAAGACCCTTTCGTAACCTGAATCATTATCGATCAAACCCTGTGGGTAGTATATAACTAGCTATTTCAGTAATATATATATATATATATATATACATATATTTAAATATTTATTTGATAAATATTTATATATATTTATATACAATATAAAATTTAAAATATATTATATATATATATATATTCAAGGTGTGTGTGTTTGTGTGTATGTATATGTATATGATATATGATATTTAAATATATATATATATATATATATATATTTAAAATATATGTGTGTGTGTATATATTCATTATATATATAATATGTATATGTGATATCTATTATATTATATTATATTTATTATATTGTGCTAGTTTTCAATTTAATTTTATAATATATTAAATTTAATAACTAACATGATATGAGAGAATATCATGTCAGTTTTATAATTTAAATTTATAAGATAAATTCAAATTAGATATAATATCATGGATTAAATTTATTATAAATTTAATTAAATTTTCATTAGCTCATTAAAGGAAGACAAAAAACCCTAATCTATATATATGACATAGGAAGGGGCGTATTGTATAGACAGAGTTAAAAAAGTTCTGACAACCAAACACTTCAAGAACCACGAAACACCCAAAAAAAAAAGGAAAACTAACATTCAAAGAAGAATGAGAGCGCTAGCACGCTGTTTGAGTTAGAGAGTTATTTGTATAGATATCAGTAAAGAGAGCAAATTATATTATTGGCTCCTAAGTTCTTGACCCTTAAAGAGAACACACGTGAAGCATGAAAAGAAAAAGAAAGCTCTTCTTTCCACCTTGACTTAAACAATTTTGTTCAATCCACATGGGGATAGAAATTTAAAAATTTTTAATCTTTCACTACACCTTTCTATCCAAAAATGGTACCAAAGTTAGGTCGAATTGTCATTTAAGTTGGGTTTTAGTTGATTACATTCTTAAACCTTCATATGATGAAATTGGTTAGATGAATGTTGCTATGATAATTTTGAAATTTAAATGTGATTTTTTTAAAAAATTAATATATGTTTTTCATGTGATGTTTCAAAATATATATATATATATATATACTCATTTTATATATTCAAAATTTGTATGAATATATTTGAGTTTATTGGCTCATATTTTCATGCATATGATGTGTGTTTGATATGTAAACCATTCAGCCAGATTATCAATATGATTGATGAATCTGAAGCTTTAAGGCAACAACTCATTCAAAGAGAATAAACTTTTCAAAACGCAACCTAACTCTTCATAGCGAGACTGTTATGTCTAACTCATTGTACAACCTAATTCACAATTTGTAGCATTTCATTATATATAAATTGTTTATTTGTTGTTGTTTTTTTCTTTTATTTACCTTGAAATTGTTTGGGCATGGTGACACATGGCTCAAGTTTTACAAGGGTTGTAATTTTAAATATGGCCTACGTGTTGTGCCTTTCTCTACAGACTCTGAATATGTATTCTCTTCTCATCTCAAAAGTAGGCACCCAAGGTGTGTTTTGATTAGAAAAGAAGTGAGTTTGGAAATGGGCATCCAACTTTTGATTATGAAATGATTTGATTATGAAATTAGTGTCATTAGCTAGAGTACGGAAGAAGCTTTCTATAGACACCTAAATCACCTCAATCAAAAATTGGATGGAGAAATGATCCAATTTGCTCAGATGTTGTCATAATTTTGCAATACACTGCAACACATAGCATAGCATGGATGTGTCGTAGCACATGGGAACGTGCTGTAGCACACCTCATTTCTTAAATATTATTTGGTTGTTTCAACTTATATGCAAATGCTTTGATGTAAATTATTATCCCATACTTCCATGTACCTAGTTTACTTTAATTTCTTATTTATGAAAGTATATTTGAGTGTTTTGAAAGTTTGAACCATTACGATTTTACAAATTTGATAATCAGTTTGGGCTATTAACCCTATTATTACTTTGGTTTTAGAGTTAATTATGGGCTAATAAGAGCAACCTTACACCCTCTGTTCTTTCCACTATATTCTTCAACAATTCTAACATCTTAGCTACTACAATTACAAGTTCTTACCTAGTTTGCCATAGTGTTTTATTTTCTCTCTCCTACATCTAACTGCTCTGATGCCCAATGATAAGACCCTCTATTCTAACAAGCTTAAAGCAAGCAAAAACCAAAAAATTAATACATTACAAATGGGATTGAAAATATTCTTGCTAAATAATAAAATTGGATTAAAAAGAAGATAGTGATTCAAGCTAACCCCAAAACTCTCTTATACACCCAAGCACAAGCACTGAAACTAAAATCAAAGAAAGTTAAAGAGTACACTAAATAGAAGCACAAGACATAAGCCACTAGACTTTCAAGAAGCCAATACTCTCCCCAACACACTTCACTTCTCTAAAAGATTCAACTCCCTTCTCTTTGGCAGAATTGAAAAATTTAAAGACCAAAAAGCTATAAGTCTACACTTTAGCTACACCCAAGTCCTACTCACATGCCACTTCTTTTTGCCTACAACCAAGAGCTTCAAGATAATTATTTTGTCCACTAGAATTGCTCTATCCAACACCATATTCCTTCCCATAGATTGTGCTATAGGCTCTATGAATTGATTGGTAAATCTTTTCTAAATCTTTAACTCTATCAGCTTACCAATAAGGACCTCCTTACCTTGGACTCTCTGAGGTTGAAGAAGTCTAAATCCCATATCCAAGCAAGTTGGAGAGTATAAAAAATGACCCACAACAATTTAGCTTGTGTTATACTACAATCTCATAAACTTTGAGTGACACCTTTTATCCAATTACTACTGGAGTCCCCAATAATGTCACTAGCCTTAGAAATATTATGATTTTTGACATAACTATGACAATTACACATGATCCAACTAGGATGAGGTTGGGTCCAATGAATGCTTCAAATATACTTTTAAAGGTTAGAGTTTATCAAAGAACAGAAAGAACCTTTTGCATTCTTGAGATGTGTAGCATAAGCATGAATGGTGGCCCTTACAGAAAAAGATATTAATTATGGTCTCATTGTTAAAAGGGATTTTTTTTTTTTTTTGCATCCCATAGTTTCCAACAAGCAACTCCAAAGATTTTCTATAAAACCACCTATCAAAAGGATGAGAGATGGAATGCAATTTTTGCTTTTAACATTTATAAAAATAAAAAGAAGAAAAAACTCACTTGACATTAATTTTTCTATTATTTCACTAAAATAAATGAGTATGAGAGGGTTTATTTACATCAGTTGTATTTATAATTCACTTCTAACATATTTTACTAGAAATTAAAAAAATTTTAAAAACCATTAACTCTAAAAATTTAATAAGTTTTAAATTTTGCCCATATTATATACTTCTTTTGTTAAAAAATGTAAGACATTTTTTAAGGAGTTGGATATTAAAAAATGTAAGGTATTTTTAATCTTTTAAAATATAATCATTACTTTTTTTTTCAAAAAATACTCCTATTGACAGTGACTTTATATTTATTATAAGGTATTTTAATAGGAGTAAATATGAAAAGATAGAGTTAGTTTGAAAGTAGATAATTAATTTATTAAAGGTGATAATTAGTTTATTAAAGGTGTTTTAATAGGAGTAAATGTGGAAGGACAAGGTTAGTTTAAAAATAGATAATTAATTTATTAAAGGTAAAATTTAATTAAAAATACACACAAATTGAGAGATTTTTCCAAGTCATTGGATTCAAACTCTCACATAAAAGGCCACTTAAACGAAGATAGCAAATTTTTCCAAGTCATTGGATTCAAACTCTCACATAAAAGGCCACTTAAACGAAGATAGCAAATTAAAGGAAAAATTCTCTATATACAACATCAGAACTCTGATAAACAAGGAGTTACTAATTTGCAGAAGCATTGAACAAAGAACTCACAAGACTTAAAACCACTGAGAAGCCACTGTAAAATGCCTAAACGAGCTTAATCCCCTTAAAAAACACTTGGGATCTAACTCTCTTCTTCCATATCTAACATTCTTTAGAAATTTTCTTCTTCCTACCTCTGTCCAATGACCTCCTGTACATACAAGCCACTAAAAATCACATAAATGACCAAACACACAGGCTTCAAAAACGCAGTCCATTGCAGCTTCCATAGACATAGTCTCTTGGATCAAAACCTGCCTTCTTTGTGATTTTGTTTTGGTATACTTTGGTTGCAGAGATATCAGTTCCAGCTCCTTTTGAGGCCTCTTGTAAGAGACCATCAAATTGTCCACATGCAGCTGCTATAAGCCCTATATATTTCACATCATCATGAGCCAATCTACCAGTTAGACCTCAGAGACAGATTCATCTATGCTTTTAAAACAGTCAGGCCAAGACTAATGCTTTTGAAACAGGATAGGTCAGTGAATCGGTGGAACGTTTAAGGCCAACTGGTCTGAAAATGGTCAATGTGAAATAAAGAACAGAATTTTATTTATTGATAAATTATCAGTTCTTAGCTGGTCATTATTGGCTCTTAAACTAGCTTTCCAATATTTACCTGTTTCAACTTTTGAGGCATTTTAATCAGTCTAATCTGATTTTTCGTAACATTGAGCATCACTGACTTGGGAGTCCTTGCCTATGCATTAGACGATAGACTTGGGATATCTAAATCAGAAGTGGAATATGAAAATCAAACACTTTTTCTTTCTTTCAATCCATATACAAATATACCCTTAAGTAGAGTCTCAACAACTGGAATAATTTGGTCAAGGTATGAGAATGCCAACTTACAAGTTGAAGTTATTTCCTTCTAAATGCCCTTATGTTCTTTTATTTTTACGCACATAAAATTAACAGAGCAAAAGTGATACTGATGGTGGTTATTTCAGTCCATATCTTCTCATTTTTTTTCATCATTAAGGGGGCATGAAAATGCTTTCTTCAGTGCAGCTTCACAAAATACTAAGTATTATATTGGATAGGATACGGCATAACAGAAACATAAAGAGATCAATTGGCCTTCAAACAAACATAGTCAAATTCACTGGAGAATATAGCGTGAAGGTATAAGAAACAGAGACAACATTCATTTGAGAGGTACCTAAGAATAAAGGAGAAGGCTTTCCAGGTCTTGATTTAAATTCAGGGTGGAATTGAACACCAATGAAAAAAGGATGATTAGGTAGTTCAACAATCTGTGACATGAAGAAACAAATGATATTTCAGACCCCATGCAGATTTGTTAGATAATACAAAAAGTTCTAACAAAATGTCTGTATATGTTAACAACCATACCATACCTCCATACGTCGGCCAGTTTCATCCTTCCCAGTAAAAGAAAGGCCAGCATTTTCAAGTCTTGCAACCAGATCAGGATTCACCTGCATGGAAAAATATCACTCTTCTGTCCAGAATAATTTTATAAGGTAATTTAATGCATAAGAATGTGATACCTCGTATCTATGTCGGTGTCTCTCATCAATGAATCTTTTGCATCCATATCTATTAGACAAAGAAAAGGATCAGCAACCAAATAAAAAGGACTCATGATGAAGTAGATAAATTTCTCTCATAGCCAGTTATAAGCACAAAATATATGGTTCACATTTTTCTGAATCTATTCAAGTATAATAACACTTACAATTTTGCAGATTTGCAGTCATTGACCTGGAAATATGTCCTCCTAGATCCAAGACGCATGGTACCTCCCATATGTGTTTTTGATCCCTATACGACCATTTAAAAAAATTCCCTCAATTAGTAAAAATAAAATATACATCACATTTTTAAACTTACATTCTTAGCATTAAGACACGAACATATAAATATGGACCTCAGGCATAAATATGACACATGGGTTCTTCGTATTAGGATCAAATTCAGTGCTATTGGCATCTTGTAGACCAAGAACAGATCTTGCAAACTCTATGACAGCAACTTGCATTCCAAGACAAATGCCAAGGAACGGGATTCTGTTTTCACGAGCATATTTAGCTGCAAGAATTTTCCCTTGCACTCCTCTGTCTCCAAATCCTCCAGGAACAAGGACACCATCAGCTCCCTGAAGCCAAATATTAGTTAAATTAAAAATGTAGAAAGTAGTGGCAGCTAAGGAGAGAAGTTTATAACTAAAGAAACAAGTGCTCATTTCAAAAGTCTAAAAGAAACCTTCAACAACTTCCATGCAGCCTTATAAGAATCAGGATTCTGCAACATTAAACCAGAACAATAGCAATGGTCAAAATTAAGGTAAATAAGCAACAAATGTTTAGGTAAAAGAACTCAAAACATGAAATAACCTCTCTTTTTGTTGAATCTTCAAGGTCGCTAGCTGAAATCCAATCCACAAAAAGTTTCTTGTGCCAATGAACAGAGGAATGAACCAATGCCTGCATTCATGATGATAGATCAAAAGCTCCTTTTGCATCTATTCTTGAGACATGTTTTTCAAGCATAATAGAGATAAACTCAATAAATACAGATACATGTTGTCAAAATATGAAGGAATCATCAAGCAAAAGATACTATATGGTTGTTTTCTCTCTCAATAGGCCAGTTATGCTAACACAAGAACTAAGGTATACAAAGAAAATAGTTACATCTGATTCTACCTTTAGAACAGAAAGGTAAGAATCTGAAAGCCCAGTATATTTCCCCACCACAGCAATGCGAACCTGCCAATTGCAAGAGTATAAAAGTTTATCCATTACCAAAAATCATGTAAAATTAATATTTGAAAGTAGATTTTGGAATAGCAACCCACTGGTTCATGCAGCATGTCAAGAACATCAGCTCTAGAGGACCATTCCTTTAAACTTGGCTCTTGAACTCTCCTGTATGTGATAAACCCACCACGTAAGACTTCCAGTGCACCAGACAACAAATATTCTGTTACAAGAAATTCAGCCCCAAAAATTTAAGAGAATCTGAGAAACAAACCCATTGAGTTTTAGCACTTTCAACATTGCTTCATGAGCTTTCTGGTCCTAGATCACAAGAAGATATATGGTGAGAAATGATATCTTAAAAAAAGAAAAAGAAAAGAATTGAAGTTCATCAGTTCTAGAAGAAAGGCTTACTCTTAAAAGTAAAGGAATGTGCCAGATGTTGGAAACATCATGAAGGGTAACAATGTTTTCCATCTGTAAAAGTTCAGCTTCAGTAAAGCATACTCTAGCAGGGTGGAGAAAACTATTTTTAGTCATGTACATAAAGTTAGACTTATCCATTTAATCTCATACCGGAACGTGGCAAAACTGAGACAGTTTCTCCTTGACATTCTCATGAAGAGCCTGCAAAACAACTAGTTTTAGAATCCTAAATCAAAGCTTATAGCTAAGAATTTTTATGTATGCATATGATGTATATCCCTCATGTGTGTCTATGTATATTCTGTAAATATCTTCAGGAGGGTGATGAAGGGAGGGAGGGAGAGAAAGAAAAAGCAACCGTTGTACTCCGGCATGCTAGAATATCCGGTGTCAGACCTAGACTTCGTAGTCCACGAACACTATGCTGGGTTGGTTTTGTTTTCTGAAAACGGTCAACATAATCAGCTATATTCAGATGAAAACGAAAGTAAATCGTCTTTGAAACAGATCTCAAAGGAATCAAGTTCAAGGAATACCTGTTCACCAACAACATTCAAAACAGGAACAAGGCTGACATGAATTAGGCAAAAATTGCCAGCACCTGTCATAAGCAGCATATAAGGCTTGAATAATTGAGACTAACAATTGAAAGGAATGGACATGAATGCATTCAAACTTGTCATCAACTGAATATTCTCACCTACACGACATGAGAATTGCCCTAATGCCTCAATAAACTGCATGGACTCAATATCTCCTGCATCCAGTGTTGTCATCATAAATCAACATAAAACATGAATATTATCTTAACCATGAGGAATCAAGAACGTTTCAAAGTGTACCTATGGTTCCACCCAATTCTATGACACAAACATCAGCTGAACCTGGTTTACCATCCACTGGTAGGTGGGCCACCCGCTCTATCCACTCTTGAATAGCATCTGTAACATGAGGGACAACCTGCAGATGGGTAAAAAATCATAATAATATTAGAAATATTCAAAGATTTTATTCGTGATTTCTGCAAAACAAAACATATTAGAAATGATTAAACAGAACCTGAACTGTTTTCCCCAAATAATCTCCTTTCCTCTCCTTCTCAATAACATGCTGCCACAGACAGAAAATGAAAAGTTGGAGATCAATCAGGAGCTGGAATGATCTACAGAATCTTCCATAATAATAGAAAATGATGTGAGAAAATTCAGAGTATCTTAGGCACTTGCCTGGTAAATCTTTCCTGTAGTGATGTTATTATCGCGGGTCAACTTGATATCCAGGAAGCGCTCATAGTTTCCTAGATCCAGGTCCACCTTTGAACACAAACAAGGTCATGTTTTTTTTTTCACTGTTAAGACCTTACACGAACTCTGACCTCTGAGAAAAATTGAAGTAAATTGACACCTTGTCTGTCTTTTGATTTTTTTCTGGACACAACCCTGTAATCAGATTATTTAAAAAAAAAAAAAATCAGAGCAAGTCATCTACCTCACCACCGTCATCTAATACGAACACTTCACCATGCTCAAGAGGAGACATTGTTCCAGCATCTGTGTTTAAGTAGGGATCTGGATAACAAAGAAGGAATCACTAAACAATGAGGATGAGGTAAAAGAAATAATAGCTTGATAAGACCATTTAAAAGTAAATATGATACTGCTTTTATGTAAAATTCATTATCAAGTAAATAAACAGAGTTTAAAATAAAGACATTAAAACTACAAAACACTGACTAAATCACTGAAAGGTATGTCTGATTTTCAAGGTACACTTGTGATAAACCTCTTGTTTGTACAATTGTCCATGGCTTGTCAATCTTCAGAAGCTTAGCTAAGCTGGGCAAGTGAGAAAAACTTTACTGGGCTTTTTCAAACAATAAAAGAAAACAATAACTCCTAGACGACAACAAAAAGAAAAGTGAGCAGGATACTTAATGAACTTTTCAAAGTTCGATGAAAAGCGAGCTTACTTTACCCGTTTTTCAATCCCAACAAATAATAATAATAATAATAAACTTCATAATTGTAAACACGGCGAAGATGAAGGAAGAAGACGAAGACGAAGACGAAGACGAAGACGAACAAGAAGGTACCAATTTTGATAGCAGTAACTCGGAGGCCACATTCCTGAAGAAGCACTCCAATACTACTCGCAGTAACCCCTTTGCCCAAGCCACTAACAACCCCACCAGTAACCAGCACGTACTTCATTTTTTTCAGAAGAATCAGAACAACAAGGAGCAGAGAAATCCTTATGCTATATTTATGGTTGCTAAAAAGGCCAAGCCTTGTTCCAAGGAGAAACTAGATTTCTGAGCTCTGGTAAGTAGAGCGAGAAGAGAGAAAAAGAAATAGAAAGAGAGAAGAAAGGAGCACGAGAGGGTGCAGTAAAAGAAACACTGAGAATGGGTGACGCAGAAAGCAGAACACGAAGAAGCAAGGACGAAGCATGAGGCAAGAGAAGGGAATGCGGGGGCTTTATATAAAAATCGTACGTCCTGATTCCATATAGAAAAATTAGGAGAAGAGAAAGAAAGGCCAAGCGAATAAAAATCCTACGTCCTGATTTCACATAGAAAAATTAGGAGAAGAGAAGGAAAGGTCAAGCGAATGTCGGAAAAAATGAAGGAGAGATTAACGGGAAATAAAAAATCCCAAAAAAAAAAAACAACAAAGAAATTAGAAAGAGAAACAAAAGCCAATATAAGAGCATTTATAAGGAAATCAATAGTTTAGATATTGGAATCGGAGTATCATACCCCCAATTGACTACGAAAGCAAGTCATCAGATGTGTGTATATTGAAAAATCCTAGAAAGCATTCATTCTTTTTTGAGTTTTTCTTAAGGTTTTGGGAGGGGAAAGATGAAAAATGATGAAGTCGCGTCAAAGTTCATGTGTGCAGCAGCAATTCGCGAAACATGGAATCCTCTGACCGACCGGCGAACCGGGTGGGCCACCATGGCTCGCTGAGCACCAACCCAAATGTTTTACTTTGCCAGATTTCAATATCTGTTTGAATTTTAATTTACATATGATAAAAAATACATTAAAGAGATTAATTATTTATTGAATTTAAAAAAATATATTTGAACTATAATTTAAATGTATTTTAGAAAATTATTCAAACAAACCCTAAATTTATGGTCATTTTTACATGAAAATAAAATTAAAATTTTGAAAATCATATTTTTTATTACTTATGGCCTCTTTTGTCAAAATCTTGTGTCATTGAAATCATAATTTAAAATTAGATTAAGATGTAAAATTTATTTTTTAAGTGATTTGTCACCTTGAAAAAAAAGAAAAAAAACAGTCTCACATGAGTATCCCAAAATCAGAAAACTCCGAAAATGTAAGTAACTTTTTGTAAAAGTCAATATAAATTAAATGCTAAAAATTACAAATAAATGTAATTTGTTCATTTCTTGTAAATATAAAAAATTAAAATATTATTTTGACCAATCACTCTAACCGATTACTTGATAATTATTAGATTATTATTGCTGATAATAGTGCCAGCAAGTAATTAAAAGTATTAATTTTAATAATAACATATTTAAATATTAATATTCTAATATTTAATAACATATATATATCATTATTATTAACAAATCTTTGTAGGAAATTTATAAGTCAACTTTTAAAATTTACAAGTACTCCTCCAAAAATTTACAACTCAACTAGCATTCAACATTTATTAGTAAATGTGTTTTTATACTAATTTAATTGTAAATTAAAAAATATAATAATTTATCAGTCCTCCTTCAAATTTTATAAGTGGTCCTTTAAAAGCTTGCAAATCAACTAGTGCATCCAGCGAATGTAATTTTTAATGTATGGGTTGTAAATTAAAATAATGTAATAATTTATAACTCTTTCTCTAAAAAATTTAAGTCCTCCATCAAAAATTTTCAATCCAATTAATGTATTTGAGATATACAAGTCAATGTATTTTATATCCTAGTTGAGCTGTAAGTTAAACTGGTATTGTATTTTATATTTGGGAGAATCACATATGAGCAAGACTGTGTGAAGAAGTTTTAAAGCCTAAGGTGAAATTATTAGTAAAGCCTAGCATGTGTAATTTCCCTTTAAAAAAATTATCCACTCATCATTTTTTACAAAATCATATATTAAAATTTTATAATATAGAAATTCTAATAAAATACTAAACTAATTCGATAGAGAGATGAACATTAATATTGATAAAGTGCTCCTATTTCATCTTATATATTGGGGTAAAATATGAATATTAACATTGATATGGGTGGCAATATATTTTTAACAAAAATATATAATTAAAACTGATGATATCAATAATTAATATGAAACATCAATAATAGTTTTTTAAATTATAAATAAGATTTTAATAAGCCTTAAAGGTGTCTTGATGGTCAAAAACTACAGAGTCTTAACATCAATGTTTGTCAATGTATTAGGCTTTAGAATAAGAAAATGAGAAAACAAAAAATAAGACTATGAGAGAGAGCTAGAGTAAGCTAATGTAGTGTAAATTAGTATAGTATGGATCTCATTATTTTTTTTTATGTAAATAATGAGCTCAACTCAATAATTAATATTATATTAGGAATAAGTGAAGTTTTTCAACCGAAAGAATAATTAATACTTTTTATTTTCTTTGATCTTCAATTAAATATATACCAATACAAATATAATTTCAAATATATAATAGAGGATATTACGGGAAAAAAAATGGAGGTTAAGGCAATTGTCTCACTTGCCTTAGGGCTTACATAACCTTATATGCAAGGATTGTTGAAGAAAATTATTCTCAAATGAAAACTAATATAAAACTGTTTGTTATGAAAACGGTAACAAGAACTTATTTTCTTTTCGAATGGTGACTTATTATTTGTCTTCATCTAAAAATAATTTTTTTCAACAGTTATTATATTTGATTTTCCTAAATCAAAACTTACAAATCCTTATCCAAAAATTTATAATTCAGCTATTATTAAAATAAATACAGTATTTTTAAGAGATTTTTACAGACAAAACCTATATTATAAGATCAAACAAAGCAAATAGCCTAATATTTATTATATTTTTTATCATGATTAGTTTATTATATTTGTTAATGATATATTATAGTACATCAATGATAAACTAATTATAAATTTTTATATTTTTAATGATAAACTTTTTATATATCGATAATAAATCTCTTATATATAAATATGAACCAAACATACTCTCAAATTTTCAAAAACATGGTACATATTTTTGGACACAAATTTTTTTCGGTTAGCTAATCAATTTATCCCATTACTTAGCTCCTGCCAATAGCGGTGACAATCCGATAATTGGGCCAGTATATATGGTTTCTCAAAGTTGGCCGAAGCAGTGGACAAAAATGGTATTCTGATCTTTTAAATAAATAAGGAATGATACTAATATCTTGGCATTTAAATATAATTTTAAAGATTTAATCTATATTAATTTTATTATGGAAGACTTATTTGTAATTTTCAGTTTTTTTATTTGTAAGGGAGAATGACATATAGGCCACAAGAGGATCAATTAATTTAAATTTGACTCTCAATTTTATAACTTTCTTGTAATTCCAAAATATTAAATTCTAAAAATTTACAAATTGGACTCTTAATTTTATAATTTTTTTAATATTGTAACTTATTTTTTAAATTTTAACGTAATTGAAAAATAAATAAATTCGTTTTTCTGTTAAAATTTAAAATATAAGTTACAAATTCATCACGGTAAAATTATAAAATTAAAAATTAAATTTACAAATTTTTAGAATATAATACTTTAAAACTTACTTTAAATCAATTCTTCCTCTTAAAACCTCTATGTCATTTTACGTATTTGTAATGTATCATGTTCTCTGGTGGTCAAAATAACAAAAATTTAATGAAGAGGGAAAGTTGCTTCATTCTCAGACTTAAGAAGTGACATTGCGTCACTTTTCAAGTTTCCTTGAAACTGTCGCTGCTAAAAAACAAAGTTTATTGATAATTTTTGCAAGAATTACATAAAAATACCAGTCTATATAATTAATTATTCTCAAGTTCATTGACAATTAAGCTTATGTGTTATTATTATCCTAAACTCAGCTGCCAAGAAACCTGAGAGTAATTAATTGTGTTGAGTAAGATCTTAGAATAATTCTCCTATAATTTTTTAGCTTTAATCCTTTGAAATTTATTTGTTTGAACTATAATTATAATAATTTTTTATTTTAGATTAAAAAAGTTCGAACTACATACATTTCCTCTACATTCTACCACATGTTTGGCAAATTACAAGTTTAGATAAGCTAAATCTCAAAATTGGTTGGAATAAAAATAGGTATTAAAGCCAACTCATTGTTGCAATTATTGTGTGAGTTTGTCAAAAGGAGAAGTCTCACATTATCCATATAAAGAGAGGTCCAAATGTATATATACTAAGAAATAAAAGTGGGTTAGTAAATGGACTTACAAAAAAAAAAGTGGACTAGTACGCATGAGATAGGCCAACGTAAGGCAATTACTATTGAAAATAGCCAATTTGCGCCTTATGCGCAAATTAAAGATGCACAAGTTTCCTTTTATTAGAATTATTTTTGCAAAAAAATAAATATTAATTTATTTAATTTTCCTTATATGTAAACCTTGGTTTTGGCTATTTAAATTTTGAACTTGAAACCTTGAAGGGATTCAAAAATGGTGGTCGATTTAATTGTTTTTAAACAAATTTAATTGTTCTTTGACTCTTAAATGAATTCCTTAAATGTTTAGTAATTAAGGTTTTATGGGCTTTGATTTTTTGAAACTGGTGAGTTAACACAAGTTAATGGCCATCCAACATTCATTTGGGTTCGTGCCTATATATTTCGGAGAGTGATGTGAGTCCAGTGCCAAATTGTTGAGTTTTTTAATTGCTTCTTTCCTCCTCCTCTATTTAGTGTTGTGTTGTATTACATGGGTATATTCTGTTGGCCTCTGTTTTCTTATGCCCCTTTTAGTTTTGCAGGAAGAGTCTATTTAATCCGAAGGAGCTACCATACAATCAATATAGTGTGACATATTAGCTCTTAAGAATAGTGTCCTTAGCATGACTTGAACTTAAAATCTACCTGCTAGTTTCAACAATCTTAACTCTTAAGAGCTATTATGGTGTCAAATACCAAGAATGTCATTCTCAAAGATGGTCCTAGTGGTTCTAGTGGAGGAGATGCATCTACCACTACTATTGTTCCTCTTCTAAAACCTTTCCTAAACATCTCTAAGATAGAGATGTTCGATAGCAAAAATTTCAAATGTTGGCAAGAATAGATTTTTACCATTCTAGATTTGCATGGTGTTGCAGCTGCTCTTACTCAAGCTAAACCCCTTGCTAATGCTGACCAAGCTCATAGTAATGCTTGGACACATGCAAACAAGGTATGCCAACACACTATCATTAGCCCTTTATCTAATGATTTGTTCAATATCTATTGTATCTATAAAGAATCTAGTAAAATATCAAAAGTGTGTGGTAATGAAGTATATTTCAAAGGATGTTGGGAAGCA